AATTAATTAATTTTAAATTATTTTTTAAAATATTAAATATAATTATATTTAAAATAGATACAGCTAAAGGGGTATTAAAATAGCCAATTGAAATATTTAGAATTATAAATAAAGCAGATAATGAATTTAATTACTATAAATAGACAATTATACATTTATTTAAATACATATTTAATATATAAATAATATATAAATAATTTATATATTAAAAATAATACTTTTTTAATTATATAAAATGTTTAATCTATTAAAAGAATTAAACAGTACCAGATATGCAATCTCTATAAATAAGTTTAATTTTTCAATTAAATAAATACATTTAATTTTAATTTAATTTAACTTTAATTGAATTTAATTTAAAAAATATTAAATATATTTATATTTAATATTAGTTACAGCTAAAGGCATATTCACAATATATAATGAATAAATAATGTCTTATTGCTTATTTAAAAGGTATAAGTTATTATACTATATTGCGTGTTTAACGCCACTGGAATACGGTCCAATAAAAATTTATGAAACAATTTTTATTATTTATTATATTATATATTTTATAATTTATTTATTTAACAAATATTTTGTAATTTAAGATGACTAAATATCGACCAAATAGAATATTTTTAGCCGATGGAATCGTTTCGGAGTGTGAGACAGACAGAATTTCCCTTGCCAATGTCATGTGCTTCAGCACACGTCTGTATTAGCGTGTTTGCTGGTGTTGAAGTGAAAATGTCTCCCTCACCTTCACAAAAAATCAATGCAAATGGACAGAACACACAATTCGAATGCGACGGTACACAAGAAATCACCCACAAGGAGCGTTTGTCCTACATATGACTGCTAACATAAACAAACCGATGCTGACAAAGCCATCAGACGCACACAGTCCTGCATTAACACTCGACACCAGTGGAGCCAGATCCTCTCTGACAGACAGTAGGGTAAAGCAACCTCACATCACGTCTGACCATATGATGTCAGAGAAAAGCCCAGAGGACGCGGATTGAGTCATAAAAGGCCAGAAATAGCAGCGTTCATATACTGAGACATCCTAAATGACAGCAAATCTGCGCTCGACTCGCAGCCGGTTCCACATCGCTGCCAGAATCTCCAGTAAGTGTCCGTCGATCCACATTAAGAGCTCCGAATGTTCACACAATGTAAATCAGGACATAAATCACACATCACGCACACGTTCATCGCCGGCTCTTCCAGCAGATCTGACGCTCTCTATGTGCCTGTGAGAGGGAGATAAAGAAGTGTGTGACTGGCTGTTTGTCAGAGTGTGTGTGTGTTTATTATTGGCAATTAATCACGGTGGGCGACGGATCTGAGCGGGTGAAGCCTGGCAGGACAGCGGCTGGAAGCAGAGGAGGAGGAGAGATAAAGAAAATACGGACAGCGGGAGGAACATTATTACTGAGAGACAATTCACTGAGAGAGACAAAAACATAGGAGGCCTTCAGAAGCAGACAGACAAACAGAGACAGACAGACAGACGGAAAGACAGAAAAGAGTGGACAGGAAGACAGAGAGAAAGACAAATGGACACACGGACAGACAGACAGACAGACAGACAGACAGACAGAGAGACAGACAGATGGAAAGACAGAGACAGACAGAGAGACAACAGACCATCAAAGAGACAGAGAGACAGACGGATGGACAGACAGACACAAAAAGACAGAGAGATGGACCGAGAGATACAGACAGAGAGACGGAGAGACAGACAGACAGACAGAAAGAGAGAAAGACAGTAAAACAGACAGACAAAAAGAGACAGACAGAGAGATGGATAGACAGTGAGACAGACAGACAGACAAAGAGACAGAGAGACAGACAGATGGAGGGACAGACAGACAGACGGATGGACAGACAGACACACACAGACAGAAAGACAACAGACAAACAAAGAGACAAACAGAGACAGACAGACAGAGACACACAGAGAGACGGACAGAGAGACGACAGACAAACAAAGAGACAGACAAAGAAACACAGAAAGAGAAACAGACAGAGA